TACTGTTTTAGCTCAAATGAAGGGGCACAAGACAGAATATTATTAAGCAGAAATCATTGCTATCTGACGCATTTCCCTTTTCAAACATGAAAATAATGACGGACAAAGCTGTTTCTAAGCCTTAGCAGTTAAACTACTTTAAAATACTTAATATTTCAAGGCCATAACATTTGATTTGCTGGGCGTTAAGTCGCAAACTACTCCCTTCAGTCCTCCGCATTACAGGACAGCTGATACCTCATCTTACTATGCTAGCTTGCTAGTTAGCATGCTAAAGGCTACACGGATAATAACAACAACAATACAGGCACTACACCACGGCTCCACACCCGGTTTGTAGAAAGACAAAGCAAATATTCATAAGTTTTATGTGTGTTTATGTTCAAACTTCTCAAAAAACGTTCTGCATTGCAAACTTTGCATGGCTAGCTGGCTATTCGATTAGCTCACTGATGCTAACCCAGCTAGTTAGCAGAGGGGAGCGCGTCCCGGCTCTCACTGGCCCTCCTGCTTTCTGCCACCGCTGGTAGGAGTGACGCACAACCGAGCGGTGAGTCGAAGTGGACCAGGGCGTGTTCAGCCCTTCCAGACCCTGCGTCCACGGCAATGGACATCGTGTGTTTTCTTCTTTATTTTATGCTTTGCTGATACCTGTTGTTTATCAGAATGGCTGTTTAACAGCCAATCAAACAGCAGCTTACCCCCGCCCATTGCACACTGAAATAAGGCATGGCAGCGCTGCAACCACAGAGGCAGAGTAATCATCTCTCTGTCTGTTGGAGGAGTCGTTGAGAAACCATCCCAGTTGTAAACGTCCCTTTTTAACCCATTTGCTTTGCGTGTGTGTGTGTGTGTGTGTTTGATTGAGGGGGATTATATCTTACTTGTTGAATCTTGTTGGTTGTTACTGTTGATATATTAAATAAATATTATGGCACCAAAATTATGGCCTTTCTTGTGTCTCAAATATCTGGTTGAGATTTCGTGACTGTAAAAGCAATATGTGCAATTGATTCAATCTTTATTTTCACACAATTACACAAAATGCAACTCTTAGTAAACAAGTTTAATTCTGAGACAGTGGAAACTGCGCTGAAACTGCTGCCTACTGTTCTGCAGGAATATAGTGTAGGAGGGCTCATTTTAACTCTTTTCATCTGATTTAGAACAGTTTTTTCATCATGTTATGTGTTTGTTATTTGGTAAGTGATGGATTGTGAGACAACAAGTTCAATTGCAGTAATAACATAACTACGGAGCCCTGCTGGTGACATCCCATTTATATATAAATACAAATATTGCGTATGAGCACATGTAAACGAGATTCTAATGCGTGGCCACGACTTAGTAAGGCATGGAAACAAGATAATTAAGTCATGGCCACGAGTTAGTAAGGGGTGGGAACAAGATCATGCCTTATTAAGCTGTGGTCAAGACTTAATCATCTTATTCCCATGCCTTACTAAGTCGTTTCCATGCATTAGGATCTCGTCCCTACACATTACTAAGTCATGGCCTTGACTACATTATCTCGTTCTCATGCCTTACTAAGTCATAGCCATATATTATTTTTATGAATACGGGATATCACCAGCAGGGCTCCGTACATAACAACTTTCTACACAGGATTTTTCTAAATCCTTTGTCCATTACAGTGCACAGTGGGTCTTGATGTATATTGTTCATGCTAGTTTTTTAGTGCTGCTGCTAAATTTTTACTTTGCAGTGACAGTGTAATCAGACAAATACTGCATAATATACAGTGCATAGTAAGATACACAGCTTGAACTTGAAGCGCTTTAGTTAATTGAGAGTGGAAACATCAGGTTTGCTAGTAATGAAGATGAAGATGTAGAGCATTCTAGACTCTTTAAAAGATGTTTTTAAAAGTGTTCTTTAGTAAAATCATTGGTTCTATATAACCACGAACACTCAGAGAGCCCTTTGCGTAATTAAGTGGTTGCAGATTGACAAAGAATGTGCTGTGTACGGCTCAAGCAACACCCCACACCCCCCCACCCCCACCCCCAGAACCCTGGAGGATAAGCGGCTTAGATAATGTGTGTAAGTGTGTGTGTTTTGGCTGGTCTATACTGCAGTCATATGAGGTAAATAACGTTGGGCAGGTGAGTGCTCTCGTGCTGTATTTGACTGCTGCTGCTACACCTCAACCAAACTGCTGCAGCATGATTATACATGACTCATTGTGCGGTTTGGCCCATTGAAGAGCAAATAATAATCTTATTTATATTGTAACTTTGGCTAATAGACGGTTATGGAAATGTGCTTGTGTGTTTTATGAGTTCGTTCAGTTCACACAGTTTGAGCTTCGGGTAAAAAACAAAGGTGAATAAAAACTGGCCATGGGTCAGTTGGGCTGTAAAGAAATCATAATCGGCCCACAAAATATATGATTGGTTCATGGCTCAAATTTGCTAATTTTAGCATTTGGATTGGCATCGTCTGCATGTAAAGAAAAGTCGTATCGTGCCAGTATGAGGGTTATATGGGGTCCGATAAGGCCTTTAGGGACCCAGATGCCACCCCCCTAGCATACAAGCCCAGTACATCATGAGATATTAAACTCAAATGAACTGCTGCTTTACATGAATTTGTTAAAACTATGGATATTGTGACAAAAGTGTTTCAAAACTATTTTATTTTTATCTCTTTATCTTTTGGCAACAATTTAGTTGTGTAATATATTTTATTCATTTTGAAATTATGTGCACATTTGAATCAATGCAACACTTTTACCATGTGCTTCTGTATGACTGTAGCTAAATTCTGCTACAACCAAAATATAATATTTAACATATAATAATTTAAAAAGTTTTTTAAGCATGTTTTCCCTTAGCAGACAAGCATCACCCAAGTGGCACAAATTTTTATACCCCTAAAAAAACATAGAGTTGTATGCAAATGTTTGTGCACCCCCAAAAATGACGTTTTGTTAATTTTCTGTGTGAAAATATAAAACATCATCTACAGAGAACACAGAAACATTTTTCTGCTAATTTTGGTGCACAATTTTTATTTATTTGCACTGTTTAACATATTGGAAAAAAAGGAACACAAAATTTAAAATGTGCCATAACTTTTGCACAGACCACATTTTGTTTTATTTTTCCCCAAATGTTAACTTCAGCTAATAAACAGTAACTGTGCATTAAAATGTCTGTTGTAGAGGACGTGTTAACTTATTTTCACTTAGAAAATCAAACTCTGATCAGGAGTGCTGAAACCTTCGCATATGCCTGGACACTCCTGCGAGAAGCCATGGCACTGATTTGCAGCAAGAGGGCAGCAGAGAGCTGTACAATGAACAGAGCCTAAAACAATAGCATTTACAAAATAACAGGAAACAAGCTCAACTACTGATGTTATTGTTTTCTGCCCACTCTTTGAATTAAAAATAAAATGTGCTACTCTTGAGACACTCACTTGTTATTTGATCAGTAAAACTCATCTATTCACTCAAGAACAAAGGTGTGTCTGTATGTGTGTGTTCGTGAGGAGAGGGTTTGGAATTTGAGGAATGGATGGTGGTCTCTGATCCCCCCCCCCTACTAAATCTCCACCCTGGTCACTAATCAGGCCAGGCTGGGCTGCTCAGCAGGGGTCAGAGATGCTCCCCTCACATCAGGGAAGTTTGTGGGTTTTTGTTGTAAAGACCTGCTACCACTGCAGCTCGTGCAGGCCAGGCCTGAGAACAATAGGCCCGAGCTTTGTTTACTGGTTAAGGATGCCTCTGCGTCTGCCTGCCTTTCTCTTTCTGTAGTCAGCTGTAAAGCGTGCAAGAAAAGGATGAAGCTGGAGTTCCTAAAGACAGTCACGCCTCACACCCCCGACATTCCAGCGTGTGGATGAACATCAGGGGTCAGTCAGTGGCTCACAGCATATCGACTCTCTTTTGGGCCTCTGACTGTTTAACCAAAAACACAGTGGAGAGGAAAAATAATATGTTCCATGTATTATTTATTATTAGATGTAAGTGCCTTCATGTAATATATATACAAAACCTCTTTTCTCTAGAATGGTAACTTTACAGAAGAAGGAAACACATCATTAACTTCCAATGACAGTTATTGGAACACAATCTTATTCTGAGTCACAGCAGTGCTGCTGGATTTTTAAGCACTGTGTCCACTCACTGTCCACTCTATTAGACACTCCTACCTTGTCAGTCCACCTTGTAGATGTAAAGTCAGAGACAATAGCTCATCTGCTGCTGCACAGTTTGTGTTGGTCATCCTCTAGTCCTTCATCAGTGGTCACAGGACGCTGCCCACAGGACGCTGTTGGCTGGATACTTTTGGTTGGGGGACTATTGTCAGTCCAGCAGTGATACTGAGGTGTTCAAAACCTCCAGCAGCACTGCTGTGTCTGATCTACTCAGACCAGCACAAACACACAAACCATATCTATATTTTTACCATTTTTTTATTTTATAATATACATAAGCTGCTTTTTACATTGTAATAAAATTTCAGAGCACTCAGACTATTAGAAATAGTCCATAATTGCTTGGAATAAAGTCTCTTTACATTAACTTACATTGAAAGTTATGAATGGTTTTGCTTTCTCCTGTAAAATTAAGGTTTTCGTTTCTTTTATTTTATAACAAAGCTTTTCTAACAGGCACTTTACAAAGTCAGGACACTTTGCTGGACATTTTGTAGGTTAGTCCTGTTTTTCCTACAGTCTGAATATTTTTGTCCTATGAATACACCAAAACAAACACAGACATATACATACACATTAAAGAATGTGGGCTGTTATTTACACAGCTGCATTATCCAAAAGCCAAAAAACAGCTGGGTGGGGGCTACAAATGGGATGAAGCGGATCACAATATGTTCACCTCACATTAATGTCATCATTAGTTCAGCAGGAAATCACTACCACAGCTGCGCTCAAAATCCAGTACCTGCTCAAAACTGTGACCACGCTGATGCATGTCTGGCTTAGCAAAACAGAAACGCGCTCAGATGCACTGCTGCGAGATTAACTATGGGTAACTTTATTTCATTTTTCCAGGTTTTTAGTTCAAGCAGTATAAACACATACAGAGAGGTAGTGGCAGGATTCTTTCTGTGCTCCTCACCAAAAAGACTCCAGTGGTAATTTGGTCACTAAAATGGCAACATTAAAGGAACATTTTGCTGTCAAAACAAAACCTTGTATCTCATAAATGATAACTTTATAGATGAAGGCAAAAAACTAAACCTTAAGTTGTGTTTTGGACTCTTTGTATTGTGTTATGGGCGTATAATGTAAAGGCCAGCTGGCGTTTTTCCAAAAAAAAGTAAAAAAAAAAAAATTAATTAATTAATAATGGAGATGCAGGGTTTTTTGATATGACAGCAGTGCTATAATTTAGGCTGCAATTCCTTACAGTGAGTTCCATTCGGAGGAATTTGGCGTTCCCTCAGGACTCTACAGTTCAGCAGAGTCAGCTAGCGGTGAATTGGCGGCCACATACTTTACTGACCTTAGGATAAATGAATGCCTGCCTTAGTAAAAAGATAAGAAGTTTCTGCTAAATTTTATTGTAACTACAGAGAGCCTGAGGAACGCTGGCGGAATTCCTTTTTGCTGAGTGAGAAATCACAAGGATTTTACATTGGAATGTTTCTTTAGGCCACAAAAAAGGTTCAATCCAACTTACAGTGCAAATAATCACAGTGTATTTAAGAAACCCAAAATAAACAAACAAAAAAAAGTTGATTGTCAACACAGCAACATACAAAAGTTGCATACAAAAGGACGGTTACAGGATATGTTGAATATGCATAGCAGGCCACAATCAAACCAACTCAAGCAGAAGAGTTTAACCTGCTCTGGGACGAATTAAAGGAGGCACAAAAGTGAAGTACAACTGCTGAGCCTCTCAGCAACTGAGGCACAAAACCATATTAAAATCATATTAAAACACACAGATCACAAAGATCTTTCGGAAAAACTTAAGAGTTTTTGGCTTTCATCATATTTTAACTGGAGCAAATGGGGCCAATATTCAGGCAGATACTCATATTGCTGGTTTAAAAGACCCAGATTAAGCCTAATCCTAGACTGAATAGGGTTTTTAAGGGTAAAACAAGCTTGGAGAAGCTGTATGAATAGCAGTTTAGTCCAGGACTAGGGTTAATCCACTGCCCAATCTAAATCTCCGGTCTTCATTGGACTTGGGGACTTCACAGCAAATCGCATGGAGACAAATGAAACATGAGGATTTCGAAAAAATAAGCAATAGAAATTACCAAATTTAGACAAACAAGGAAAAAAGTACACAATTCAAGTGCAAATGTGCAGATTTTGGGGTCTAATCTCATTAGTGTTTCTTATACGCTTGCAGCCATACAGCATTACAGATTCGCCGGGATGACGTTGAACACTTCAACGTAGTCACGGAACGAAGGTCCAAAAGGACTGGAGGTCACAGGGCCGGAGTCTGGAGATTTAGATTAGACACGTCTAAGAAACAAACCCATGCACTTGTCTGAAAACAACCCTGAAAACAAAAACGTGAGCATAAAGTCACAAGACTGTTTACTGAGTAATCATAGAATCAGAACATATGCAAATTTAGAGGACAAAAAAAAAAGAAATGAACTTATCACACTTATTATTCTATCCAAGGGTTTGAAACTTGGATCTTTCTCTTTCTCGTTAGCTCCTTCTAATGCTAATGGATGCTGTGATGCTACAGAGTCAAGCATCCATGGTCAAGCATCCATGTATACAAACATGTCTTTGACTGATTTGACTAAGAATGCGAGTTCTGGACTGGCCATCCTTCTGGTTGAGTTGGCTTGACAATATAACACATGTGCCTCACTAAACACATCCCAGGCTTTGACACAAAATGCAGAAACTATAGACTTCCATAAGTACAGATAAACAGTTTAAAGGAATAAGCCAACATTTCGATTTCCCTGTACCTAGTAAAGAAGGGAAAACCCACAAACTCTAAATGAGCTTATAATAGAAGCAAATGGGCAGTTGCTTCAGCAGTAAGCTCATGGGGCCAGGTCTCGTTATGACGACGTCTGGGTACAACCGTTGGACATTTTGGGCTAAAAGTGGGTGGGAATGTAGACTGAGTGTGAAATTTCAACTAATCCAAAGCCTCATGAAGGTGGAGATGAAAACTGGGGGCGAAGATGTGCTCATCAACAAGCCTGCCATCGGCCAATGATTGCAACGTAAATTGGCAGAGCTTAAAAGTCTCCAAACACTACAAATAAACAGGTAACACTTTATTTGGATAGTACATTGTAAATGTGTTGTATATGCTTTCAATCTGCTTATTATCTATTCATCTTAAATTAATTTTAAGTTGTCCTAACCCTAACCTTAACCCCAACCCAAAACCTAAACCTAACAGTGACTCTGTGCCTAAATTGAAAATCCATGATCTATGATAATCCACTAGGGGCTATCCAAATAAAGCAAGATCAATAAACAAAGAAGTAGATGTCATTTCACTAGCTAGCTTGTTTTGTGTTAATGATTGTACCCCTGAGGTGGACTAGAGGAATTTTTAATTGTAGTGAATGGGTTTTAGAGGGACGTAGCCCTATTTTCACCGCAGTCCAGCACCAGAAGTTTAAGAGATGTTTAAGAGATCTCATCTGGCCCCGCAAGACTACCTTCCCATTGGCTTCTATTATAAGGGAACTTTGAGCCTTCGGGTTTTCTGTTCTTTTTCTAAGTACAGGAAAACATGTCATATCATCATCTATCATGATCGACTGTACACTACTGATACAGCAGACACAGACTAGGTCGAAAAACACTGGAGTATTCCTTTAATTAAGACTGAGCATATGACAACACTGAGTGAGACACTGTATATTCCAGCAAGACCCACTCATATTTAGCCATTAACACTGTTTTGAGTCTCAGAAACAAACTGCCTCCCACTCTGTAACACAGTGTGGTTTGTTGTAACCTCACTTAAGTATGTGGGGTTTTTTATTTATTGTTATCATTCCATGAGTGTGCTGTGCGCTCACAGCTCGGAAAAAGGTCAACAGGTCATTAACAGGAAGCTTAAAAGTTTAAAAAAAAATAATAATAAAACATAAAATAAAGCCAAGCAGCATTGTGTAACATGGGACTGTCCGTTTGGAGAGGGAGGAGCATTATGTAACATAAAAAACTGCTTTGCTAAGTTGTTTTGTATAAAGAACAAAGGAACTGTGTAGCGGACACACCTTTTATACAAAAAAAAATAAAAAAAGATTCAGATAATCCCTCATGCAAATTTCCCTTGATAGAGTAATTAGTGCCCTTCAACATGCCATTCCTTCATATTTTCAGTGATTAATAAATTACACAATCTGTTGCATCATCATCATCGCCATAACAACGTTTGATTGAACTGGAGCTTCATAAGGAAGATATTTCATCTTTCTGTTTTTTTTTTAAAACACACTTAAAAATGCACTTGCAAAATGCAAAAAACGTAACATTACATTAAAACACTGGTGTAGAGTAAAATCAGAGGTCATATAATGTGAGAGACAATAAAGGATACAAAAAAACTACTGAAAAAATAAAGGCTTTTTGTTTCTTTTGTTCAAAATCAAAGGCATTAGGAATGTTTCCACTGCAGCGCGCTTTCGGGCCCAAAGAGCCGAAGATCAGACGGATGGAACAGTGTTCATTACTGCATTATGAAGAGTGAAGACAGCACAGTCTAACTCTCAGAGAGAGAAGGTGGAGATAATGGCGTCCTGACTGCTGGAGCGCTTATATCCAGAAGACGAACTGAAGTAGGTTTCTCCATCAGTGCTGATGTCATCATCATCATCGTCATCATCCAGGTTGTTAAGGAGGGGGGCAGAGTTGCTCTTTCGTCTTTGGGAAGAAACAGAAGAGTTGCTATGAACATAATCACGCTAACGCTATCTTTTCTGATCTGCTAACTTCTACTCATGGTTAGCCATGTGTTACAGTATCACTGTTCACTTACTCACTGCGCAATGAGCAGATTCAGAGTTAGTCATAAAGTAGTCATGTATTAACTCATATCACTGTGAAGCAGAGCTGGAGAAATGCAGCACTGTGCATTGATCTGAAGGCAGTGATTCAAGTATGTTAATCTTTATAATAGTATATAATAATATAATATATGCCAAAATGAAAGTGAAACATTTCCAAACAGTCTATTAATAAATTATAATATATATATTTTTGAAGCTTTGTATGTTGTTGTCATTGTCTGTATTACTCTACTGTGCACATAGTTCCTCCAGTTATTTTTGTATTTCGTGTATTTCGTGTATTCATGTATTTTTATATATGAAGCCCCTCATGGCTGGCAACTCACATACTCACTCACTCATGTTTAGCAGGGTGAAAAATTCGCCTTGAGGGGGCGCTATTAACACTCAATTAGATTTTTGTGCATAACAGGAGTTCTTTGCATCAGTGATACTGTGTGCTTGTTTAAAATAATTCTAAACTGTAATATAATTTAATATATGATCATGATTCATGATTAACTGAATGAAAAAGATTCTCAATCGAAACTGTCGCAAGGTCACAGATTTTCACATATTAGTGTCTGGTGCTTTGATCCGGTTGTGGATCATTGATAATGCTGTGAATTCTTTACCTCATTTCACTGCGCAGTGCTTTGAGCTGATTCTGGAGCTGCTCGTTGGCCTCCTGTTGCTCCTCCAGGTCTCTCTGCAGTTTCTTCTTTCCATGCTCAAGCCGGTCAATCTCCTCCTCTGCCTCATCCATCTGCCTCTTCAGGGCTTTCAGACGCAGGTTCAGCTGTGCACAGACAAACGGTTGCATTAGATAAACATGCTCAAATACATAAACACTTTACACGCTCACTGTATTTGGAATCACTTGCCATGTGAACAATTTTTATTATTTTATGTACAACAATAACTTAGATATTTTTAGATGTTAGATTCTATATTTCAAGAATTCTGTGAGAAATGAGCTATTATATGATTAATAATATACAGTAAGTATCTATTTACATTATTTTTGGTTGAGATTTGATCTCCACTTTAGAAATCAGATTGATTTTATTATAATTTAATGAGGTCGTATTAGAAATGTGTGAAGCTGCACAGAATTAACGCATAAGATTCATGTTATACACGTGTCTGCAAACCAAATTTGTTTTTGACTCTTGATAACTGCAAATGTTTTGAAAAGCTAATCCAAACTTTGTAAATGCAGGTTACAATGACCAACTGTACTACTGCTTTACGATTTATCAGCCCCTTTCAACCCTCTCCATCAATGGAAAAGGTTTATTATAGGACCAAAGCTGACGAGAGAGTACAGTGCTGAGACAAATAGGCAACAGTCATCAACTGTAAACCTATATTTTATATATAAAATATATATAAAGTAAAATACATATATAAAGTTTATTAAGTATTACATAAAAAGTTCAGTGTACCTAATACACTGGCAACTCCATGTAAACCACCACACACATTCTATCACATGCACGCTCAATAACAAAACTGCTCACATAAGCAGGTGAGTGTAGAAGAGTGGGAAGTAGGAAGAGTGTAAGCAGGTGTGTTAAATTTACCTGGTCTTTCTGATCCTGCAGCGAGTGCTGCTCTTCATCCATCTGCATCATCATCTCCTTCACTTTACGCTCTAACCTCCGGTTCACCAACTGCAGGTTGGCACGTTCTCTGTAGAACACATTCTTTTTTTTAGTTTTTTGCAATAATTTCCTATTATTTTCAATGTTACATCTACAGCATTTCATTCTGGAGCCCAGCCTAACATGGGCTAAAATGTAGCATGGATTTTTTAAATGTAGTTAAACAGGTTCAAATAGGACATGCTTGGCAACATGCAACAAGCAAATCAGTAAACAGCGAGAGCAGTTCACTTCTTCCTCATATAAAGCACATTTTTAGTATTCACAGAAGTTATTCTGTTATTACAGCTGTCATGTTAATGAAATGTATTTCGATTTTATCTCGCTAATGTCTGCTATTCTACTTTATGGCCAAAAATAAATTTGACAATGTCATTGCTAGCCATGTTTATTGTGATGCCTATAGATCTTTATGTGTTACAGCTGGGAGGCACATTCAGTTCAAACACTATGAAATTGTACTGAATTAATTATGTTTATATAGATTTATTAGACTATTCTATCAAATGTTGCCTCCACCTATGTCTGTGACAATGAACCCCATATATGAATATTTTTTGGTACACAAAATCACACAAATGTAATAAGTGGACCTCAGGAAAAAAAATAAAAATATTAAGAACTATTCAGGATATGGGCCCACATTTATTTAGCGTGTATTAGTTTATGTGCTCCCGAACTCCAGTTGCGAGTTTTTTTCATGAGTTTCTAACCTCTCTTCTCCTTCCAGTCTCTCCTCCAGCTCCTGGATTCTGCTCTCCAGCTGGGCCACCAGCCCCTCCTTACTGGACTTCTGTGAACTCTCCAGATGAGCTATCCTACTCTTCAGATCTTTATTCTGAAAATAAACAGGAAGACAAAACAATTCACGGCATGACCACTTTTGTTTCAACAGCTGTTCAAGTGTCTAATATTAGCTCACGGCCTAGCTGTTACAAAGGGGTAAAAATCAGTGGTGAACCATGACTATTAGAGCCAGGCCTTCAACTGGGGCCATAAATAGCCATAAAAAGGAGGACAAAAGGACCTTTTCAATAATGCTAATAAATGAAAAACACTGATTAGCCTACAGCTCATATTCAGGGTTAAAGAAGTATCTATTACTTCCAGAAGGCCTGAGTGATGCTTTTTTTCTTGAAACTGGTCCCACCCACTGTGAACCATCATCAGTCCTCAGCCTGGTCCTAATTATTTTAGTGGTAATCTGACAGGTTAGGTCTTCAGTTCAGCTCCTGAAGGCCTAACCAATGAGAGAGCTCGCTCGGCTGTATGCAGAAAGGTGTCACAGAGGAAAATAAATCCAGACTGGAAATTTTCCACTGGGCGTTTCAAGATTTTAACCCATGTTTATAGCCAAAACTTAAGAATGAAATATGAGTACTACTACACTACGTGCAGAGTTTAATAAAACAAGCATATCAGTACAAGGGAAAAAATATCTAACAATTACAGAAACATGTTTTTTTTCCATAGAAATCATTAGAAGACTCTGACAGTTGCTCACTGGCATAATCTTAGGAAGATAATTTAATAAAATAGATCAGGCTGGCTGACGAGGTAACCATGTTTACGATCTCAATGCACTCAGAAGTGCATTGTAATTAAAACTTCTCACATGGAAAACAACACCATTAGATGAGAACAGGTGAAGACAATGATGAAAATGAGAAAGTCATGTAAAGTGAAAGGAGCTTTCATGTAATTCTCCCAGGAATCTTAGGCTATGTAGCACGGATAGTGCTTGTGGACTTTACCTGTCTGTCCAGGGCAATCTTGTCACACTCCAGGTCCTGCTTGCTGGCTCTCTCCTGCAGCAGCTCGTTCCTCAACTGGTCCACCTGTTACACATCAACACCACTGTCAGTCACACACACCATCTTCACAGACCTTCATATGATCATTAGATTCTATTACGACTACCAGACACGTAACTAGGGCTGGGAACATGTGTCAGTAATCACTGATAGCGGCCTAAGCTTCATCACCCCCTCCAGTGAAAAATGAAAACTGTCCTACATACATATTTGTAACTGTGTGATATCCATGGTTTTGAATAATTTAAAAATCTATATCAGGGGTGACCAAAGTCCGGCCTGTAGACTGCTTTTAATTGGGCCTCCAGGCTGTACTTTGCAACTTGACGGTGGCAGCAGTGCTGTAAACATACAGTTAATTTACAATTAACCTGCAAATTAATTTACTGAATTACATTCAGTCATGACGCACAAACAGCGCAGCTGACTGTGACCACCAGAGACTGTAAAAGCAATGGAACACTTTTTTTAATCGAGAGCTGCAACAAATGTGTACCTCCTATGTCAAGAGACTGTAATGAATTTAATATTGAAACACATTATGAACGCCAGCATGGACGTTAGAATAAATATTCAGGGGACAAGACGGCAAAAAATGTATGTTCTATATGTTTGTGCTTTTCATATTTTGAACACTGAAAAAACACTGAAAAAAATTTGTATCATTTAAGCATAATATATTGGCAAAGAATGACCAGCCCTCAGGTATTCGGATAAGGTCCATTCTGGACCCTCTGAAAAAATTCTGGACTGATTTATATTTATTAAAAATTATGTGCTGAGCTATTGATTTTTCAAGATTGCCCATCATCCCAGCCCTACACAAAACATACCATAATCTTAACTTCCACATTGACCAAATGTAGTATCTGAATGCTGAAGGTAAGAACGATACTGTGGTTACTGAACTGCAGTGCTCAAACTGTTACAGCTTACCTGTCAACTTTTTATCAAACGCTAAATCAAATATGCAACTAAACGATTTAAACACTGAGTCATTCAGTATAATCAGCAATATCCTAACCTCCATCAGCGATGTCTTCTAAAACACGTTTAACCACGAGAACCTGATGAGCCTGGTACCCAGCCCAAAAAAACAAAGAAGCTGCTCGTATAAATCCGCTGTGTGGACGTCACCGCTGGCACGAGTAAAATCATTTTATCTATTTCAGTGTGTAGAACAGAAGCTTCCTGTGTACTATGGTGTTTTCTATCCCTGCACAAAAGATGCACAAGGCTTTCTCTCTTGTTGGATGTGAAGGAATTTATTATTGTGTAATGTGTTTAGTGCTATGTTATAGATTATTATACGCAGTATTGTGTGTGCATGTGCTGAAATTGCAGTCCAGCTCTAAAACTGTGTCAGTCCATTGTTTTAGGCTCAAGAAATAAACCAGACATGCAGCTGGCTCCCTGGTTTGTGACGGGGTTGGAATTCTTCAGGTGGTGCCGTGACCCGGATTGGACTCAATTCTATTCTGTAGGCGAGTGGCCATTTCAAGGCAAACCCTAAACCAGCAGTTAGCCTCCTCTCATTGACAGAACAGAGGGGAAGACCTCAGTAGTGTGTGTTTAGGCCTGTACTGTGGCCTGTTGTCCGTAAGCCCATGGCTGGAGAAAAGTCTACCACACAGAGGGGTGTTAGGGAGGCACCTGATTGGTCTGATGATGTATTTATTATTAGGCGGATTCTTCAAGAGGTGTCGTTATCCGTGCTGGCTAGGTATCTGGTACCTGCACGCAAGAAATTAACTTAAATTCTCCAGACATACGGCTAGCTCTCTGGTTTGTGACGGGGTTTGGATTCTTTAGATGCACTGTTTTATGTGTTTCTGCATAGATGAGCTCATTCAGAGCGCAGCTCAGATCAGTGAGTGCTTATTAGTGATTTGTTTCATCAGAGTAACAATGAAGCGTGACTGATGTGTGACTTATATTCCTATTCAAAAGTGTAGTTTGGGACCCAAATGGAATAAAAATCTCCAGATGTTTTGGCTTTTTTAGATCACAACATCATCAAATGAATGCAACAACAGTATTTAGTAACAGTGATATTTCAGTTCAGGTATCTTCATCACAACGCTGCCTTCAAGGCTTCTGAGACAGCACAGCCAGCAAGGCATTGAGACAGCTGCCTTCAATTTCAGACAGCCTCAAAATGCAGCTCGCTCTGCGTTATGAATTGCCTCATGACACATTTTAGCACATAATGACACGCAAAAAATGTATAATGCATAGCTTGAAGCATTAACACTCGTGTGAAGTATGTTCCTGACCTCTAACACACCGTGAGAAAATCACTCCAGTCACATCAATCACACAAATATACTGTATCATAAGAAAACAAAGGGGAAAAATTGCTCAGATGGTGTTGCCTTTTCTCACAGAGTCACCATTTCACAGAAGGTGGCAGTGTGATTGTATAATAAGTGCTGTGTGATCAGTAGAGTGTGCGATTTCGCTGAACTGCTCTCAGATTCTGGCCAGACTGCATTCTGCATCACACCTCCAGCACCTCCAGGAAACTGAGCTGTGTGTACAGGTGATATTCACAATAACACAGTGTGGAACGCTCTAAAGCCCCCGTCATGTCTCACAATGATGAGTCTCTCAGGGCGTGAAGGGCATTCAGTTTTCCAAAAGAGCAGCAGGCAAATTTTGCTGCTCAAATTAGGCCACAAATCCCACCACAAAGCTGCTTACTTCAGTATATACAGCACAATTGTCAAACACGTCAGACCCTTTAACCCTTAGAAGCCCCCATTAAAGACAAAATAACAAAAGATTAGTGTAATGCGATATTCAGCATGAAAACAAAGAAGCCTGACATGCCGATACAGCATGTAAACTGAATAATGTAAGTGAGGTTTGCGGTGTATCTATGAAGTTATGCAATTATATAAAAATATGCAATGTAAACTGCACGTATAGAAAAATGTATAAAAAAAATGTCGTGTAGGGCAGCGTTCGTAAATCTACATGACACATGCAGCCTTTCAAGACAACTGACATACACATAGTCGTATGCAAAAGTTTGCACGCCCGAAGTCAAATGATGTTTTGTTGATTTTCTAAGTGTAAATAAGTGAACACGTTCTCTACAGGGAACACACTTCTGCACATTTTACTGCACAATTACTATTTATTTACTGAATTTAACATATTGGTTGAAATAAATAGAACATGAAATCTGTCCTGTGTAAAAGTTATGGCACATTTTATTTTTTATGCTTTAACTTTTCCAATATGTTAAACTCAGCAAATTAATATAAATTATGGGGCTGGGCAATATGACAATATTTGTCATTATTGTGATAAATTACATCTCAATGTCACAAATGATTTTCTGAGCATATCATGGATATCTTCAGGGCTTATAAAAAGTTTGATTACAAAGAGAGCAAAATTAGTCTTTTTTTATTCTATATAGTCTAGTTTTACTGGATTTAGCGCAGCACAGTGTGTTATATGTTTAATACAAATAAGTGAATTCGTAGTTTTTGATGGTATTTGTAAAATGTGGATTTATGTTTAAACGTATGAGCCATCAGAAGAAGCAAATATCATGACATATCATGTATTATAAAAAAAGTTCTTGAAGTATCATGATATGACATTTTGCCACATTGCCCACCTATTGTGAACTAAAAATAAGTGGGTGTGTTCTCTGTAGAGGATGTGAAAACATGTCATTTGACTGGGTTGCTCAATATTTTACACTCAACTGTACATAAACATTTATAACGCCTGATTCCAACAAGCATCAGTTGTCTTAACACTTTCTGGAGTGAAATGGCATCAAAATTGATGCAAGCAGCTTTTTTAACACCTCTTCTTGTTAGAATGAGGCTTTATAAAAGTTACAAATGTCACCCCACAATAAAGTATTACTGACAAATAAACACTAATAACAACTCTAGGCATCTAAGGGTTAAAGTAAATTAAAAGCGGAGAGGGTCGTTATAGTAATAAGGGATAAAAAAATGTAAGAATCATATAAAGAAAACTTTGGAAACTGGCATAGAGGAGAGAAAGAGATGGATAGTGGGAAGATGAGAAAATGGCAGGATGCTGGTATGAGGCTGTAATGGAGGATGATATTTTATGCCAATTAGTGTGTGACAACGCAGCACGGCGGTGAGCGATGGGGTGTGTGTGCCCGTCTGCGCTGCAGGGTGCCGATTCAGCAGCAGAGCACACACACAAGAAAATAATCAGAGAGAGAGAGAGAGAGAGAGAGAGAGAGAGAGAGAGAGAGAGAGAGAGAGAGAGAGAGAGAAAGAGCAAGCATTACTGTCATTTAGATGCTCGTCCCTGCACCTGGTGCCATGAGGCGCAGGTGTACCCATCCTGATGCCCCTTAATGTACTTCCCCCTGAACCCTTGCAGCATTGCACAGTTTCCACAGAAACTCACATGACCTCTCAGAGCACCACTGTGTTGTTACTGTTGGCTCTAATTCCCTAATTCCTGACAATAAATAAATAAATAAACAATAATACCCTCTATGCTACTGCATGCCCTCATCTATTCATCATTAGTTCGGCTCTGGTCCAGATACGGCCCATCTAAATACGGCTCTACAGGTGCAATTGTACCGCTGAACCTGATTATGTCATGGGAAAAAAGAGCTTCTTTAAAAACAATAAGCAAGGAAAGCGAGGGAGCTGAAACAGGGCCAGAGTTTAATGTGTAAACATGCCCCTTTCACCACGTGACGGAATGAAACGGAACACAAAAACAGCTTGTTTTAAAAGCATAAACACAACAGGCTGAAAAAAATGGATGCACTGAACTGAATTAAATGGATTCAAGTAAATGTTATATTTTCTGATACATGAAATATATTGCATAACTTTTGCACAAGCCACATTTAATGTTTTTCCCCCCATAATATGTTAAATTTAGCAAATAAGCAGTAATTGTGCATTAAACTACTTGTAAAAATGACACACATATCTGATTCAAGTAAAATCAACATACCTGCATATTAAACCCCTGTGTGCGTCCATGTTACTTGTAGATTATTCTGTGTATTGTGTATTTTATATTGTGTATTTTATTAGACTTTGGCGAGAGAAAGTCCTCGGTGTTGTAGTGCACCGTCGTCACCATATGTAGTGGGACACGGTGTCACCAGTAGTGTGAGGCTATGAGCAGGAAAGAAGCCTTGTGTTCCCCGTCAAGTGAAGTCGCACACAGATAGGTTCAAGTGATCTTAATAATTTATTAAGTGTCAATCGCCGAAAAAGGATATTTACATATTTACAGCAGTGTTCAAGGTTTAAAAACAAAACTAGTTTTTAAGGTGACTCCATTAGCTCCTCAGCTAACATCCAGCAGCCACTTGTGCTCACAGTCTAAACATCAGTCTGAAGCGACTAAATATGTCTGGGGCCAAACAGACCACTCACTATGGCTCCCTCAGCCTACCCTTTTCACTCCCCCAGGTATCCCCTATAGTCAGGCCCCGCCCTTTATAGTCTAAGCCCTGCCCTAACTGAGGCTGGAACACACCAATACAGATTACAGGGGTGACAATACAACACTGGCTATAACCTGTAACGTGCATATGCTACGTCAACAATATTTACATGGCCATTTCTCATTTTTATACTGGTGAGTACATTAACTCTTTTTTTTCTCTTTACAGGTTTTACTTCGGCCTTGCTCCCCCCTCTACAGGACAGCTGTGACGTCACCCAGCTCCTATAAGAGAACAGAGACCCCTGTGCCACCATTTCTCTGGAATCAACGCAAGTGTACACATTTATTGTTTGCAATGTCTCTAATGAGGTGTAATGTCTTAGACAGTCTTGGTCATGTGTCCTGGCCACTGACATCACACTCGTCAAAAAATTTTATGCCAATTCTGACTTTCTACTCTCATAAAGGCAACGAGCTTTAACTTTCCTTCTTAACTAAACACAGTCCAAGTTTAACCTCCCAGAAACAAACTTTATCTGAAGTTTATGTGCCAAACTCTCCTCTCGTCTGCGAGATTGCTGTGGGATTCCAGAATCTTCCCCTTCACTCTCTCTGAAATGAAGGGAGAGTGAAGGCAGGGCGCTCTGCTAACCTGAGAAGCTTGGCAGCTGGTGTATTTTGGCTGAGGCAGCACATTAGAAAGAGCTTTTAATTGATGCATGAAAACTGGACGGGCACAGTTACATGCGGGGCAGCCTGCCAAAGCGAACGATTACGCAAGATCCTCTTACAATGCAAAATCCCTTCATCCACATCACGGCTACAGAGCATGAATTAACTCTGAGGCCTCAACATTCGCATTTTAAAACCGTCTCCACACAGCAGGTGAGGGGGAAAGACAGTCATTGCTTGAGTCACACTGAAAAATGATGGTCCTTTAAGGGTTCTTTAGTAAAGAAAATAGTTCTACGTAGAACCATGAACACTCAAAGAACCCTTTGCATGATTAAAGGGTTCTTTGCATTGTGAAAGGGTTCTTCAGATTGATGGAGAATGTGTTTTATATGGTTCTGTAAAGAACTTTTTTGAAAAGGGTTCTATATAGCACCAAACTTATTGTAACAATATATATCTATATATCGCTGCTGTCGGAATAAAACCTTGTATCTCCATTTTTGTCGTTTTTCAGTTTTTGACATAATCTGAAAATGCCTGTTGCCCTTTATATTGTGTGTAAATTTCATGATGAATGGACCAAAAGAAACAACCCAAAATGACTTGGAAAAAAGTCTGGTTCCATTTGCTTACATTAAAAGTAAAGTACGTTTTTCCTTCTCCTGTAAAGTTACCACTTTGGAGATATGAGGTTTTGTTCCGACAGCAGCGATATATACAAACAACTAAAAGAAACTGTGTTGTTTCATCTTATTAATGTGAGACAGTTAAATTTGAATATTCAAAATATATGCAAATGTGCATAAACTAAATGCACATCAGCATGGTGGAGCTACGAGAGTGGGGTTTCTAATTTAGCGGCCAGCCTGTGTTCCTGTAATATATTTAAATAAGGAGCGACTCATACTGGGTCCCCATGAACACAACTGTCTAAGATTTCACGTTCGAATCTCAGCTACACCCCAACCAAACATCACTATTTATCAGTGTGCTATCGGTGATATTTTCCTGGTTTTGTATTGTACCATCGCTTACCACAGACAATCATTTTGATAGGGTTCCGTATACTTAAAACAAACAAAATCTCATTTATAACAGAAGACAATGGGTTGTTTATAAAACACTGGAGCGACGCACTAAAAAGCCCATTCCGCTTACACTGAAGAAACACTGACCTGCTCTCTGCTTCGGTCTATTCTGTCCATCAGCAGGTCCCCATTCTGCCTCTCCTCGTCCAGGTCCATCTCCAGCTGAGAGATACGATCCTGCAGGACAGCAGCAGACCCGTTCTTTAGCATCATCGTAATGATCATCATCAGGGAGCAAAACTATCAACCAGGTTCTCCAGTTAGTGAGGTAACCGCTTTAGTTTAGAGGTGAACATAAAGCTCAACTCTCAAAGCAACCATGTGCTAATTACATCAGAGACTGAAGTCAGTTTCAAGTCATGTTTAGTTCCATATCAGATATAGCTTTGCAGATTTTCTTTCCAGTTATTAGCCGCAGATGCCTAACAAATGTCAAAAGATAAAGCCAAGAGTAGGATTCATAGAGTTGATGCTGAGGTGGGCAGATAAGGTGATTGAGAAAACAGAGAAGGGCTTATTACAGACAGACTATACTGAAGATCTCCAGTACCTCCAGGAGTTTGATCTGTCTGGATTTGTCGTTGCTCTGGACTTTGGTGTCTGCGTCCACCTCCAGCTCAAAGACCTTCTGCTCCAGAGCCTTCGCTCTCTGCTCCGCTTCATCTTTCTCTCTCTTACACTGCCGCAGGTCCTCTTCCAGCTGAGCCAGCTGCACACAAACAAACACACACACGATCATCATCATTCAATTAAACCTATAAACATTTTCCATACAGATTAAAACACGGCTGCTTTTATTCCTCCCTAGAAAAACGGCTCTAACTATAATAAACTACTCTACATTATTCACTGATATTGTAACGTTAGAATCAATTATAATCAATTATAATAATATTCAATAAAGTATGCATTGATTTTTTGGCAGAAATAATTCTCCTATATAATTTGAACAAAAAAATAATAATAATGAAGATGGTGTATTGTTTTTATCGTCTATATGCCTCTACTGTGTAAACAGTTCCTTCAATCAAATTTGCGTACTTCAGTATTTACTGAATGAATCTGGCCCTTCTAGATTTGCCATAAATGGTATTAAAGACAGCGTGGGAAAACAGATGTGTGGCACCACCCGACTTGATGCTAACACAACACAGGAAATCACATATAGACGCTAGTGGAAACTATCATTATTTTATAATTTGGTGAGCAAAAACTACCTATAAGATAAATGTCTCTGTAGTAAACACGGCTACAGAATGATATCTTCACCAAAAAGTGTGCCTCAGTAGGTCAAGGTTACTTGGCAACAATAGCCTTTTAGCAGCAATTTGTGCACCACTGTGATTTTAGGGGGTTCTGGCCTTAGCCAAAGTGGGTATGTAAGGTAAGGGGTTTTTTAGCCTTGACCTTAACCAAGAAAAAAAACACCACGACCTCTCGAGGCTTATTGCTTGAATTAATAACTCAATCTGAAATTCTTGCATGTAAATGAATTGCTTTGAGGTCAGAGATTAACACCACTAATAACTATTCAAACATTTCTTGTGTTAAAGCTACAAGAAACAGACAAATGCTTCATATCAAAGTCATTGATGCTTCATTCATCCTTTTTTTCCACCAATAACTTTCCTGGTTACAATGTTCTACAGGCTGTACTGTGTTTTTATCACTATTGCGCAATAACACACATTCCTACCAGCTCAGGATCTGCAGTTACACACTCGGCCACAAGATGCTGCTTTTGTCAAGAATGACCGGCAAACATGAAACATCTCCCCATGACAAAGACCTCAAATGTGGCATTAAAGGAAGTATGTCTGTGTGTGTGTGTGTGTGTGTGTGTGTGTGTGTGTGTGTGTGTGTGTGTGTGTGTGTGTGAGAGAGATGAACAGGTTTTTTCACACCCTTTTCTCCATGTGTAACTGTGATTATAGTAACATATGATAGAGTGATAAGAAACACAATGAGAACAGACAATGACAAATGCCTGTGTGTATCAGTGCGTTATGTGTAGAGTGAGTGTGTGATAAAGGGTGTGTTGAGGCAAGTATCATCTCAGACTTGAGGAAGCAGCTGTAGGAACAACTGAGAAACCATGTTTAATTTTTTTTTTAAACTGAAAGGAAAAACATTTCTGTTTAGCCGCTGAGGTTAAGGTTAAGTTAGGGTAGAAAATGTCATTACATATAGATACTTAATTAATATGAATACATTATTACATATACACTACTGTGCAAAAGTTAAAGAAAAAAAACACCTTTTGTTTATTTAATGTCCAGTCAAAATGGCCATTAAGTTCAAATTTTTTTAATTGTTTGAACATATTTAACAGAAAATCACACAAAAGTCTCCAACACTTTCAATCTATCCTTTGAATCTACGTAGTTTATTTATCCATTTTTTTTACTTTTGTGCACCCTTGTGCCACTTCAACCTGTCCATCCTTCCAATCTTAAAACTCAGATCAGCAAATAAACAGTAATTCTGCATTCGAATATGAAGGAGTGTGTTCTCTGTAGAGGATGTTTTAACTTATTTTCACCCAAACTTCTAGATACAACTGTAAATAATACACATTTCATTATTACACTCTGACCAGGCACAAAAGCAAACCATGTGTGCTAGAGAGAATTCCGGGTGGGTCAGCAGGTTAACATGCAGACTCTCCTCTCTGAGTAACACACACATCCTCCTCTTCCTACACACACACAGCTGTGCAGGGGAAGGGCCTGAACATAACGTTTCTTCTCTTCATATCTTTCTTTTCGTCTGTTTATTGTTCTCTCTCTCGCTCTCTCTCTCTCTCTCTCTCTCTCTAGACTCTACTTTCCCTCACAAAGCACATACACTACACTTCCTAAAGTGTCTAGACACTCCATCTAATTAGTAGAGTCACTGGATGATCTCTGAAATTACACTGAAAGAGCCGTGAGTGCAGTGACACCCGACATGATCAATCCAGTATGGGATGAGTTTGACTATGGCGTTGATGTTGTTCGTACAGCTGGAGGAGGTTCATACTGAGCACTTGTAAAATTACATAATAAAGTTTATGCTCATTTAAACCATTTACAGTTCACTGCTTTGTTCTGTAATGATTTACAAGTGAAATAAATAATTTTGAAATTGGATGAATCTTTTTGAATCACCCTGTATTTCCAGCTCACAGACACTGATAACTCTAGTCTAACAACTGTTGAGCCGACAGCTGTTTAGATTTTACAAAAATTCTAAAAATTTAGATGCTAAGTAAATTTTTGATCAAAACAATGACTGAATTCATCAGCACAGTGGTCTCCAATCCTGGTCCTGGAGAGCTACCTTCCTGCAGAGTTTAGTTCCAACCTGTATCCAACCAGCTACCCTGCCTCTTACTTAACTCTAATACATCTGATCCACATCTGATTCGTCTGGGATTCTCTGCTCTCCCAACTGCTACTGCGACCCTAGCTGGACTAAGCGGTTAACGATGATGATGATGACGACATCTGATCCAGCCAATCAGGAACTTGGAAAGAGGCTGACTAGGTGGAGCAGTGGGGCAAATTGTGATTGGAACTAGGCTCTGCAGGAAGGTAGATCTCCAGGACCAGGGCTGGAGACCACTGTGTTAGCATTTACATGTCAAATAATGACATCTGAGTAGCCTTGGATCTCTGAAAGTAATGAGATGTCGCATAAGTGACTGTCTCACGTAAATAAGCACCAAAAAAGACCAAATGTACCCTAGGGTTTAACTCCAACCAATCAAATAACCAACTGAAGTTATATACTATTGTGGCAAGCCTTGTCGATACTCAGATTTCAACATCAATATCGGTATCGTAAAAGAAACGTGGTGTCTTCAGTATTAGCTGCTACTGGGATAATGAAGGTTTTGGTGTCATGATCACTCTTGGACAAGAAAATGCTGCATTTTTACCGTCTAAATCTCATCAGTGGCAGTCCAACATCTAGTGCAAAGCCTTCCCAGAAGAGTAGAGCTTGGCACTGCAGCAAAGTTTAGTTAAATTTTTCAATCTTTTTGAACATATTTAACAGAAAATTACACAGAAGTCTCCAACACTTTAAATCTATCCTTTGAATGTGTGGAGTTAATTTGTCCATTTTATAGTTTTGTGCACTCTTCTGCCACTTCAACACTTCCAATCTTAAAACCACTGAGTTACAGCTGTGTCCTCAAAAAGTATTGGCAAAAAAAGTAGCTGGTATTCAGAAGACTGTCCACCTCGGAGCCCTCAACATCACAGAATGTGTTTGGGATTATTTGGATGGTGAGAAGCAGAAAACGCAACCACCCAAAGTCTGAACTTTGAAGGTGTGGAAAAATATCCCTGCAGATTTCTTTGAGAAACTGAAAGTGTCTCCTGAAAAGAATAGAAGCTGTAATAAAGTTCCAAGGTAATAAAGGGAGAACAAACTCCCTGTTAATACTCTTTTTGGAAGAAACACAAGGTAAGCAGGTGTCATTTCTTACTTTTAGTGTAAGACATCACATGCATATTGGATACAGGTGTAGTGCTCAATAGCCAGATGAGAATGGAGGCCTATCTAAGCCGAGTAGCTGAGCATGTAAAGCAGGCTCAGTTCTCTCTCCACTTCGGTCTTAAAGAGGGCGGGGGCTGGGCACCACTGACCTACATGCACCACGCTCACACTCGTTCAAATGACTCGCACAATTCCCATATCAAACAATAACATTCCCTACATGCCACAGTGGTGACAGGCTCAGGAAGCCTCTCTGCATCTCATCAGCAGAGGTCAAGGGTCGCCGGGTTTGTTGAGCGTATAAATTGAAGGGGTGAGAGCCGCCCTTTAAAAAAAAAGAGACAGAGCAGATAATAAAATCGCCTCGGCTGTACTGAACACTGGGCAGACGGCTATTCATCTGGGTGCAGAGCAAGAGAGCAGAAGAGGAAAGGAAGGAAGGTACAACCACGAAAGCATCCCAGTTATGTAAAGTATGAGTTGTGTCACATGACACGTTTCTGAGTGTTTATATTCAAAAGCTGCACCAATGAACTCCTCTGCTCTTTTCTGGAATGTGGCTCAGTTTTATGTCGTGTTTCAGAGCAGTCTTGACTGGATTTTCAAAAAAAAAACTGCTTAAACCAATGTCAACGGGTACTTAAATGTCCAGTTTTATTACACAAATAATTAAATCATTAAAAATATACTATGGGCCAGTTTTCCTGACCTAACAACAGCGTAAGACTAAACTAAAAAGAGTTTGAATAAGAGAAATTTAGTCCCAGATAAGGCCTGATCCATGTCTGGGAACCTGGCATCGCTGGCATAAGGAAACACGTAACATCTCAGCTCCTTTTTCTTTTTTTTTTTTAATTTGAAAATTCTACCTGCCCCGTACATTATGTAAATATTTCTTAATGAAGAGACCAATAGAAATGGCCCTGTAAGTCCTATAAAGCACCCGCGTACATCACAGATTGTCTAGTTTTCCCCAGACACTTGTCACAAGATCATGTCCAGTCTCACAAGACTACCCCGTGTCCAGATATGACCACAAGGGCTATATATATATATATATATAGCCATATATATATATATATATATATATATATATATATATATATATATATATATATATATATATATATATATATATGTCTCCGCATACGTGCACTGAGGGCTGCACAATATATTGTTTGTTACACAATATATTGGTTGGTATAGTGTAGTGGGTAACACCTCTGCCTTTCATGCTGTAGACTGGGGTTCATTCCCCTGCCTGGGTAAATACCCTACACTATACCAATAAGAGTCCTTGGGCAAGACTCCTAACACTACTTTCGCCTACCTCTGTGACAAATGATCAAACGGTAAGTTGCTTTGGATAAGAGCGTCTGCCAAATGCCGTAAATGTAAATGTATGCAGCTCTAACACACACACACACACACACACACACACACACACACACACACACACACGAAACTGGAATCTTTGACCAGAACTGTTAACCCAACAGGCTGTCTCTGCAACTTCAATAAACTATTATAAAATGCAGGTAGGCTTCTGAATGTATAAACATCTCTAGACATGCCTGTGGCTGGTTTTTCTGGTCCAAAAAGTCAATAAAACAACAATTACACCAGGACGTTTTGGAAAAACACCTGGTACAGAGTTTGTTTATAGGTAAACTGGGCAGTGTACGATGACTGTGTAGCTGATATTGCTGTTCCACCCACCTCCTCCTGCAGGGATTTGGCGGTGAGGCGAGATTTCTCCAGCTCCACTCCTCCGTCTCTCAGCTGCTTCTGGAGCTCGGCCAGCTCCCTCCTGTTCTTCTCCTTATACGCGTCTATCTGCTCCTGCAGCTCCTGCGTGGAGCTCTGAGACGCCTCCACGATCTCACTCATCTACACACACACACACACACACACACACGCACGCACGCACGCACACACACACAGAGGTTAATAGCCATAAAAAACACGCTGTGCGTCCTTTTACAAAGAACCACTATAGTCAGAGCACACAGAACACATTCAGCTTCATAATCACTAACAGTCGTGCCTACTCTGATTCAGCTGGACCTGTGTGGAAAACAAGAACTCTTAACCTTCACACAGACTGAAACTTGAAAGCACTAGTCTGGGAAAAAATCTAATTTTGTTACTAACAGGATGTCATACAGTGTCAGAAACCACAAAAGCAAGTTTATTAAGGATTATGTAGACAATGTGGTTTGAGGCAAGTGTGTGATGATGTAGGCATGTAGTTTCACGATGCTAAGCTTCCATTATTTGTTAGCTATACTGTAGCTCCTGTGCAAAACTGCAGAAGCAAACCGGACACCAATCATGTCTAAGATGTTCGGTCTCATTTTGGGTAGAAAATTGTGTACATTACATTTATTTGTTTATCAATTTATTTATTCATCGATCGATCCATCGATCAAAGTGCTGTGCTTTAACTCAGAGGTTCTCAGTCTTTTCCACCTCAAGGCCCACCTGTTTATCGCTAGAAAGCATGAAGGCCCACTAAAAAACAAAATTCAACGTTTTTGTTTAAAAATGTCATTTTTGGGAAACACAGTAATATGTGGGGGCCTACTCTTGGAATATATGATGTGTATCAGTGAAATATTAGCAGAATATCTGTCTGGACAAATATTTGAGTGGACAACTGAAAGGTCAGGTGTTTCTAGAACCTATTACTACTGTTATTAATGTTGTTACTGTATTAATGTTGTTAAAAAGTCAATTATTTTTTCACTCATTTTTATGATAAAGTGCCACCACAGGCCCACTATAGACCACTGCCCCCACTCAGTACAGCTACAAGGACCACCAAAGGGTGCTTCGTGGCCTACTTGTGGTCCTTGGCCCAGTGGTTGAGAAACCTTGCTTTAATTCTCATATGCATTGTTTTCTATTCACTGAAACTGAGGCATAAAGGCATCCTGCACTGGGCTGGGCAAACACTACCTGGAATAACTTCAATGGCACTGGAGTATTTTTGTTTTTGTTATAGTGCGAAGCATTTCAGCGTTTGCAAAATTCTGAGGAAGTCCTGCCTCCCTTAGTTACTGTTGCTATGTTTGTTAAACTTACAGCTCAAGCTACCCACCACTGAAGCGCTTGTACCAACAGAATAAAAAGCTCAGTGGCACAAGGGAAACTTTAGAAACATGTTCAGTGTAAACATGTACATTTGAGAACAAAATTCAGAGCAAACCATGTTTACATTAATCACGTCAGGGAAAATCTTCTAGCGCAGGGAAGTTAAAGCTACATTAGGTAAGTTTTGGGGATTTGGAGACCTCTCTGGTGGAAATGTGTAACTGCAAGCAATGTGCAGAGGTACTTTTTGTAACATGGGTTGTACTTCAGACCTATTCATCAAGTGGATGAATCGGATTACTGCTAGTTTGCTGAAAGAGTATACAAAGAGAACTCAGTCAAAAGGACGTGTATTCAGAGTAAATTATCTACTATTGTCATCATATCTTCTTCAGTACAATGTTAATTTCGTTTTTAAGACCTGAACATTGAGCTGGACCTTGTTTTTGACTTTCTGACCAGAAAAATCAAACATAGTGCTGCTTTAAAGCATGAGGTTTTCATATCTAACAAAGAGGAGGCTTCAGACAGAAGCTACACCTAGAGATGAGCTAATGCTAAAACTAGAGCTATTTGTTGCGACAACGGATGCTGAGCAGGAAACACATGCTTGTACAGAACATCTTTTAACAAACTTTCATGTCTTTATCTCTCTTAGCCTACAAACTAATTTACTACCACTGGCATTCACACCGCAGGTTTGGACGTAGTGCTTTAATATCAATCATCGCTTTGAAAACAGTCAATTGAGATACTCTGCATCAGACCGAATCAGTCTGCCATAAAACTCACCTCCCTCTGGAGTTTCTCCACAGTCCGGTCCAGCAACCTCCTCTCCTCCTCAATCTCGTTCTTTGTGCTTTTGAACTTCTCCTTCTGGCTCCTCTCCTCCTTTAATCGCTCCTCCAGCTCTCTGTGCTCCTGCGTCATCTTGGTCAGATTTCTCTGCGTAGAAAAACAAAATAAACACTTCAATTCAAACAATTCAACATCTTTTTAGAAAGAAAATGAAAGAGGCTGGATCCAGTATTCTTTTGCCAGACCCTTTGGTGCCGTGTATGTTTGTGTTATGATCCTTTACAGAAGTGTGTCTGACCTGTACGTCCTCCAGGCGTGCGGTCAGGGCTCGGTTTGCCCGGCTCATTTCTTCTTCTTCTTCTCTGACCTCGGCAAGCGACTCCTCCAGTTGCTTCTTCTCTTTCTGCAGCCACACATATACACACATACAATTTTTTATCACATAATTATAGCAATTCATGCATCCATACAGCATGTAGACAACAACATTTAACCTCTTGAATCCTAAGGGGTCTATATGAGGGCCCATATTATGCAATGATCCATTTGCTTCCTGACAGCCAGGAACAGCACAACATTTAATGGCTTTTCAACACCTCCCACTCCAAAAGGTCTGCTACAGATGGTCAGCAGGAACAGCATTTTACATTACGTCAACCGGACTGGGTGGTTAAATAGTTGTAGGTCAAATGAACGGTCAATCATTACAGTTTAGAGTAATATAAAAACAATTTTGCATGATTCTAATGTCACTGATATTCAGTATGTTTCACCCTGCCATTTATGCCTTTAAGGATTCACAGATAACATGACTGCGTCCGATGCTAAAGTCTGATGTTAGTGCATGCATTGAGGCTGGCGTTGCTCACTGGCATGAATGTCTTCTTTACTGTATGGGAGTTTTTGTCTCACCTCCAGGCGGCTGGCTCTCTCTCCCAGTCTGCTCTCCTGCAGCTTGGCTTCATCGATAATGCGGTTCAGTTTGGCTACCTCGTTCTCCAGCTCCTGCGCTCTTTTCTTCAGCCGCTCCGCTTCCTGAGACAGACGGCCCACCTGGCCCTCCGCTGCCCCCCGGGCTGCGTCCACCTCCGCCTTCTCCTTACACACCACTGCATTACTCTGAACACACACATACACAAAGAAAAAGAGAGTGCGGTTAATTAATAACCCTAAAATATATTGACTTGCGGTTCTCTACATCACAATGGTTCTTAGAACTTAAAGTAGGCCTGACGCACAACAGGCACTACATTATTACATTATACTCTACTAAACTTACTATGTAGAGCCTGTAATGTTGCAGCATAGCATCGTTTCAGATTGGACACTAAACGGAAAAAAAAAGTGTGGACCTTACATCACTGAAATGCATCTGGGTTAGCAGTTAGCTAACATTAGAAAGCTAAAGCACAATGTAACACGCTCAGTGACCATTATTTTGGAATTTTCTAATAGCCGGTGTCGGGGGTAGTTACTCTAAAAATCACTAATTACTTTGTAATGGGATTACATTACTTATTACTTATTACTTCTGGGAAAGTAATTTCTCTGCTCATTACTTTACTTCCAAATTACTCTCTAAAAAACACACATGTACCAACTAGAAAGTACAAGAGGAAAGCAGCAGTAGTCCTTTTTAGATATTTGTTTATTCATTTAGTTTTCTTTTTAAATATTTATTTACGATTTAGCATCATGAACTTCCATCCAAGCTGATTTTGTATAGCTGATGTTCTGTAACCAGTCACAGTGTCTGGTGGGTGAAGCAAATATACCCATCAGATGTAAATATATTAAAAATATATTCAAATATCATTTGCACGCCAGTTAATGATATGAAGCCGTCTCAAATTTCTTCTATATCAGGGGTCTAAACTACCGGCCCTAATACATAAAAGGTGCTTTTCAGAGGAGGTTATTGTTATTATTAGTAAGTGAGCAATAAAGTACACACACAGGCAAATAAGCCACACACAAATCCTCTCAACTTAGTTTAGCTGGTCCATGTAACCATAAAACACATTTCTAAAGAGATACAGTTTAAGCCTTTTTGGTTTTGAGAGTTACAGGACCAGGACTGGGTCGTACCAGATTAGCGTAGGTTTATACTTCAGTTTGAGCGTAAAGTGTTTACTATGTTCTTAGTTGACATTGTTTAGTTTCAAACTATCCTTTTACTAAATTTGGTGACACCACAAATCCGTAAGTCGTGTCTTAACTAGTAACAACTAATTAATGCGTACGTCGCCTTACCAATCAGTATCAGTCAGTAAACCCGCTGCCATGGAAACGCAGCAGCACTTGGCTCGGACTTCTCCACAGAAAAACTATCCAGCATAGAAGAGAACAACGTGTGCAGGTTAAACTGAATAAAACTACTCGTTTATATACACCGTGTGTGTTTATTCTTTAATGTTACAGTGAGACAACCAAATATGCAGCGCTGTAAATGACGGTTTCTGGCTAACCGACACAACAGCAGCTGGGCCATTTGTGTCTCACTGAGCTGGAGGTGTGGGTGTTTAGCTTCATGTTCGGAGTTTAAACCAGAGCAATGATTAGAGCTGTAAGCAAAATCACAGCATATAGTGTAGTAGAAGTTATAGTAGAAGTTTTAGCTTAGTTCAGGTTTTGGTATTTTTTGTGCCATCTATGTGGTTTCTGACCGTTTCCCCCAAAATTACACCTGCTGAGGGGTGTGTAAATGTTTAGTAACTACTTAGCTCAGCATTAAAAAATAGTTTGTGTGGTGCAACTTTTGGATTCAGTAATGCATAAGCCTACACTTAGCAAACACTTACATTACAACTAGTCTACGTTTGAACTTACGCAGAGCTGGTGCAACCGGCCACAGTTTCCCAGGCATGGAATAAGCCAAGACTTGGACTAAACGATCATGACAAAGTTGAACCACCATTCGAAATTCTTTTTAGGCTATTAGCCTTAATCTGGATCTGGAAAACCGGCCACTAGTGTTTTAGCCTTTTTATTTTAAGAGCTACAAGGCCAAAGTTTTATTACACACTTCTATAACCTAAGAATAGCGCAAGCAGTTTTAAAGTCCCTGTAGTTACTGAATAATAAGCCTTAATATGTAACAAGCCTGGGATTTTAAGTGGTTAAACACACGGCGCATAAATAATATTGCTCTGTTAGAGACATATGAGCAACTCAAATAACACAGCTCTCTTTAAGCAGTAACTGTAATCTGATTACAGGAATTTTGAACTTCATTACAGCACAAATGATCACATTACTGTAAGGTGTTACTGTGTTCAGTGTTACCCCAACATTGCTACTAGCCTAATGTAAATAACATAATAATAAAGTGTTGAAATGGTCACTGAAGGACAACTTCAGTAGTGCAAGGATTACTGAAGCAGCACTCCATTTAACACACTGTGTAAGTGTTTGAAGTTGAATTTAACTGAAGGCCTTAGTGAGCGGAGATAAAAAAGGAAAACTCACAGGCCTCCTGAGGCCCCGGCTTTAAACAACACTGGCCTGCACAAAAGCACCATCAACCACTAACAGAGCCAGGAGATTTAACTGAGGGCTCCAGTCCAGATAATCGGTCCTGTCCATTTAGAGTCAGCTGGGCATGACCACTACAGGTCCTCAATGGCCCCGCACCTGCCACATTTAAAAGTGTTCTTGGTCCCTTTAAGCTTGAGAACTACTGCTTGTTGAGCATTTGTCTGTAAACATGATCAAACTCTCTAATTAGGCTGAGCTCCGCTGGTGGCTGTGTGGATTTGTAAGGCAGGATTTGGCTGCAGTGCCCTTGGGTTCACTCTGACCTCTCCATGCCAGCTTTACTGAATGGAAGAACTGGCCATGGCACTTTTCACGGTTTTGCTGTGTGTGCGACGTGTTCTGGAAGCTTCCTAGTGACTTTGCGTAAACCCCACAGACAATACAACGCCACAAAATGAGGCAAAACAGACATTTAGCAACACTTGGACCCCTTTATGGAGCGCTGTGCTAAACAAACAGAGAAATCTTAGATGTAGTGATGGCTGTCAAGCGAGAAGCCGCTCGCATCCTGCCGATGACATCGGGAAGCTTACACACAGCAAGGTTTGTCTTAAACTGGAAGAGCCGGTAGAACGCCAGCTACGCAGTCATGTCAAACAACAGGTTTGGCCATCAAGAGAGAGGAAGGAAAACCTCACTGTTATCAGAAGCTTCTCACCTGACAGCTCCAATGATATTTGAACTTAAGCACTATTAAAACTAACAACCTTCCTAATATATACATATAACATGCTTTTCACATTAGGCTATTACTGTTATTATAAAAAGTTGAACAATAAAGTACACATACATCCAAATAAGCAACAAATAAGTCTCAACTCAGTTTAGCTGATCTATGTAACCATAAAAGATTTTTTAGAAAAAAAGTGTTTTCACCTTTTTAATTTTAAGAGCTGGAGCTTTTTTAGCCTATATATCTTAACAGCTGTACTGTTTTAGCCTTTTGTTTTAAGAGCTATACTGTGTCAGCTTTTTATCATGAGAGCTATACTGTTTAGCCTTTGATTTTAAGTGCTAAACTGTTTTAACCTTTTTGTTAAGAGCTATACTGTTATAGTTTTTTTAATCGTTAAGGGCTATACTGTGTTAGGCTTTTAATTTTTACCCGATTTTCTCCCCAATTTAGTCGTCTCCAATTCCACCTGCTAGTTAGGACTCCACCAATCACGCGATGCTATCAGCGCTAGGAGGGCGAGGCTAACACAGGCTTCCTCCGAGACCTGTGAAGCCAGCCACCGCTTCTTTTCGAGCTGCCACTCACGCAACATCATTGGACAGCCGAGCGCGCTCGGAGGAAAGCGCCAACCGGCAGATCTGTTACATCAGCTAACAGACGCTGTGTTAGGCTTTTATTTTAGGCCTATATTGTTTAGCCTTTCATTTTAAGTGCTATACTGTTTTAGCCATTTTATTGTAAGAGCTATACTGTTTTAGGCTTTTAAGTGCTTTACTGTTTTAGCCTTTCATTTTAAGTGCTATACTGTTTAGCCATTTGACTAACAGCTACACTGTTTAGTCTTTTAAGTACTATACTGTTTTAGCCTTTTATTTTAAGAGCTTTATTGTTTTAGCATTTTATTTTAAGAGCTATACTGTTTAGTCATTTTAAGAGCAATACTGTTTAAGCCTTCTATTTAAAGCATTATATGGCTTTAGCCTTTAATTTTAAGGGCTATACTGTTTAAGCTTGTGTATTTTAAAAGCTATACAGCGCATTTCTGACCCCTAGGGCCAGCTTACTGGGCATGGATTGAGCCTAGTCTTGAGCTAAATTGCAGAGCTAATGACAAAACACTGCTGGAAAATGTGTTTAGTCTAGACTTGAGCTTATTCTGGGTCAGAGTAACTGGCACACTGTGTTTTAGCCCTAAAGCAGGTTCCGGCAGCTCCTAGGAAAAAAAAAAAAAAAAAAACCAACCACCACCACAAAACGGGCTGGGCTGCAGGTTTGTTTATGGTTCATATGTCAAAAGCTCACTATGAAAAATAGAGAAGCTCGAAGCTACTCCGGGTCGGAATTCCTCTGTAGGAAGTTTACAAGGCAACAAGCCTCATTAACACTTCATTATACACACCTGTTAGACCGGAGCTGATCCAACAGCAGAGACTACACCAAAACACACAGACACACAGACACACACACACACACACAGAGCAGGTAATGCTCAGACACTGGAAAAGCAATCTGCACTGACAGTATCTGGAATACCTCTGCACTAATGGAGTGAAACGCACATTACAGGCCCACTGATTAGCCGCCGGTCAGACGAGGACATACTAAGTTGAACTTCAGAGTACCAGTTCTCTCTGTAGAGGACGTGTTAACTTATTTTTACTTAGAAAATCAACAAAACGTCATCTGGCAGGGGGTTATTATTACATGGAGATACATACAGACCTACACTAATATTTAAATGTAAAGAGATAAACTGCCTTTTAAATAGAATTTTCTCCAATTTTTAAAACTTTGACAGTACCTTATAAATAAAATACATACGGATTATGTTATTATACACCTTTTATCATTATTATTATTATCATCATCATCATCATCATCATTACTACAGTAGAATTCCTTGTTT